AGAGAGTATCTTGTATAAAAAGGAAAATATTAAAAACATTACTAACATAACTAATGAAGAGCTTAAGGTAATGCAGGGAAGGAGAAGATGAATCAGACTGCATTATGACGGGTACAGATACATTAAACTATAATTGGTTATAGTGTGTATATATTTATGTGTGTGTGTAGCAGTATGTTTTAACTAATGAGTTGAATGCCAGAAACTCCAGTTCCATTCACCTGATGCTCATTTCCTGCCGAGTTCATCCGGCAGAGAAGAAGCTGACCATTCATCATCATAACATCACAGTTATGATATGAGAGCGGACATGACTGCATGAATGAATTTGTATGCATTATTAATTCCAGCCATATTTCTACACCTTTATGTCCTAAGTCAAACACACAGGAGGCACTGGTTTTATTTTAGTCTGATTGTTGTCTCTGCTTTTTGTTCATTTATAACATGACGAGATATTTTATCTCAAGCACAGTGCTGGATGAATATTTTTAAAATAATCAATATTAGATTTGTCACCCTGCGAATATGACCCTCTGGATTAAAAGAAAACCTCAAATAAACACAATTTCAATTACATGAATTAAAGGTGTGTTGTTTCATTTTACTAGTGAATGTTCTAATGCAGTGAGCTCTCGAAATATTTGGATAGTAGCAAAATTTTGAATCCTGGGGGCTGTTTCTTATTCTTCGGAGAGCTTCGCCCTCATGTTTATGTGCTTTATGTTTTAGTTTGAACTCTATTGTGAACGTGAAGCAGAGCTGGGCGGAGCTACAGGACGCTCTTCCTGTTTCCTCCAAATGATTATCAGCGTGGCTACTACACCCTAAGAGCAGACATTTTTGACATAAACGTGTGTGTACTGACCTTTGGCCTGCTCCAGGTCCGAATTCGACCCCTGTTCTGATTGGTTGGGCGGTCTGTAGGGCGGAGGTTGTCTCATAGGGGGCGGGGCTGCACCTGGTGTCTGCAGAAGAGGAAACAAATAAACTTAGTCACTTGCTCTGTGTCCCAACTATTTGATGGAAAATATACACTGAGAGTTATGAGTCCAGTGTGCTGAGGCTGTACCGCCCTCTGCTGGACTGGACTGGACAGTTTGATGTCATTAAAAAGACGAGACATGAAGAAAGAACGTTAGACTGACATGGTTTTGTTTGTGAATAATTTAAAGATGAAGACAGAAGAGACGACAGGGAATATTGTGACATTTCACCCATTTCGCCACAGAGCTGATGGAGTTGTTTATTTAATTGTAAGCATTGGAAGTGTCCTCAAAAACCCCAAAACACACCAACATAGACTCTGTTGCACGAAACCGAACGTGAGGATTAGTTCCTGTTCTTACCGGAGACTCTGTCCTCTTTGCTTTGTGTATATTGAAGCTGGGAGCGGTAAGAGACACAGGCTGAAACATACACACACACATATTGTGAGACTTGAGTGTGTACCACGTTATGTGTTTGTAACCTGTCTGAACTCAGTGTGTGTGTGTGTTTGTCTGTTAAACCCACACCGGATTAATGTCTATAGGGGGAGGTGGGGTGATTTTTACAGTAGTGCTTTCAGCAGCGACCTCCTGTTTGTCTCTGAAATCCTGTCTGGAGGGACGTCCTTGTACTTTATTGTGAAGATGGAGGAAGTCAAAAAATGTTGGTTTCTTTTCCCTAATCTGATAGATGATAAAATACTAACAATAACATTTAGGCATATTTGCAAACAAATATGGCAACAGAAAAAAAATAAAGTACGCTGAATTAGCTTTTAGCTGCTCCTGTTTGCAGTGAGCCCAGGACAACTATCCCCAGATTACTTTGATACGGAAGAAAACTGGAAAACAGGATTATTGTCAGTTCTAAAGAATTTGTATGTGTTTTCCAAGTGGATTTATAAACGATTTATTCTGGAGGGACATCAGAGATAATGATATCCTCTAGACGTGCAAGTCAGACTGATGCAATATGTGTTTGATATCTGTGTGTTCATGTTTCACTGAGTTGTGACTCAATCTCTTTTGTCTCTCACTTATGTCTTTCTCCTGCTTAACGTCCATGTTCATTACAGACCATAACATCTGTAATGTCACCATGGTAAAAACGTCCTGAACGATGAGTTAAATTACAGGAGTGTAAAAAGGATTATATCCCGCCGCCTCCTCCTGTAATACTCATCCTGTCTGACAGCGGTTTACGGTGTGTGTGTGTGTGTGTGTGTGTGTGTGAGTGTTCATTAGTACCCGTGGAGTCGCCGACAGGCTCTGGACGATGAAGACGACGGGGCTCGGGGCTGATTTGATGGCATTGACCGCCTCCTCGTGACTGGCCACTCGTAGGTCCACGCCTGACACCTACACACAGGGGGAATAGTGTTTGGGTTCATATCTCAAAATTGTCCCGATGTCTATCTCAGGTGTTAAAACTGTAGACCCAGGAATTAGACCCAGGTATTGGACCCAGGTATTGGACCCGGCCCTACCTCCAGGATCTTGTCTCCGGTCTTCAGGCACTGCGTTTTGGCGGCAGGGCTGCTCTTTAAAACCTGTTTGATGAAGATTCCTTTCAGCTCCTCGCCGTTCCTCAGACGCTTGATGACATGTTGACCTCCCACGATGCTCAGACCCAAGGACTGGCCCTCTTCAGGCCACACCTCCACCCTGCAGGGGCAGAAGAAAGTTTTAATTACCCCGAAATACCTCCCCCGGATGGTCAGAGAGGCACATAGAAGCACTAAAAACACCAAACGTGGAACAGACAAACAGCAACAGTCCTTCATATTTCTGCCGTCACAACTGCTGACCTGCCTTTGTGGCCGGAATACCGAGTCGGCACAAGAGGGAGAATGTTTTTGAATGCTTGTAATGCTGTCGTTCCAGCGTTGGGATGACAGTCAAAAAGGCCTTTGCTACAAGACTTTATTGGTATTGGAAATTCTGTTTGTTTTACTAAGTATGTGGATGGTGGTTAATCAGCGTTCAATGTTTCATTTCTACATTCATAAAGGAATGAAACAGACTGATGCTTGAAGAACACAATTTACCACACATGCATACCAGTATACACCAGTATACTGTGACACAGGTGACCAGAAGAGGGCGACACAGGACTGCAAAACAACTAGGGACAGAGGAGGTGATGGAGGACAGAGGAGGGGGAGGTGATGCGGGAAAAGTTAACAGGAAGAGACAGAGGAGGAGAGAAATGGAAGAGGAAAAAGGAGGTGATGGTGGATGTGGAGCTCCGGTGGATGGTCTATAACTGACAGAGTGAGTCTTTATTAAGCGTGTTGATGACAGGCTAAAAGCTTGGGACCCAAACACGTGTTACATTTCTCCCCGTGCGGTTTGGCTCCGTTGGAAAGATGGACCTCAGTGACTGGACACGAGTCACAACTGAACATTCGAGTGGTGATTAAAACGTTCAAGTAGACTCCTCTCAGAGGAGGTAAAACACACAGCTATCAAACAAGGCAGGTGAGGAGGCCAAGGCTATGAAAACAGTAATGAGCCATATCTCAGTGGGACAGTCTGCTGTGTGTTATATCTAAAGACTCAACAACAGAAGATTTAAGAAGCAGCTATTGGGGTTCTTAAAGAGAGGCCTGGAAAATAAAGCACAAAACTTTTTTTTTGCATAATGGATGTTTAGATGAACTGAGATTATTGTGGTTTGTCTGTTCAATGATTTTAATTGTTCAAATTTTTTTTTAATGTTTTGCATATGAAGGGGTTTTGATGTTATTGTACTCTTTACCGTATGTAAAAATGTTGACTCTTTTTGCATATTTCAAAATGTGGATTCTGGGAAAAGTCAAACAATAAACAATTCAGCTCTGTGTTTATGCCTCCAAACGGCTGTGAATACAACGTGTGTACAAGAAAAGCCCCAAAATGTTTGGTCGCGTCATTCAAGCTGCTATAAAACAAACATAAAAAACGCCACGCTGGTTATGTGCGTGCGTGTTACCTGCGGGGGGGGTCCCCAGTGACTGAAGGCCGGCGTTTCCTCTCCCTCGCCCTCCTCTCTTTCAGGAAGATCGCTGTGAACGCACACAAAGAGTTAGCTACAGGGATTCTGCGGGCTCATTCTAACTGGAGGTGCTGCAGATGAAGCAGGTCTCCTCACCCGTGGCCTCCTCTGATTGGTAGAAAGGCTCCTCCCTGGCTCCGCCTCTTCCTTCTTTCAGTGTCAACCGTCCTGACGGACCTCCACGGAGAGAGAGAAGACAAGAAAAAACATTTTTCACCCGTTGACTTCTTCACTGGTGTGATTTCTGTCTTATAATCAGTTACTGAGATGCTGAAATTGGAAGCAGATCGAGCATAATGAGCCGACGAGATGGGAAATAGAATTTGGAAAAGTAGGTTTGTCTTTATTGACATCTCACTGGAACCTGGATCAGTCATCATGCTGTGCAGCTCAAACTCATAGAGCTGGTGGAAGTCCCAAAGTACAGTTGTGTGAAAAAGTGTTTGCCCCCTTCCTGATTTCTTATTTTTTAGCATGTTTGTCACACTTAAATGTTTCAGGTCATCAAACAAATTTAAATATTAGACAAAGATAACACAAGTAAACACAAAATGCAGTTTTTAAATGGTTTTTATTATTAAGGGGAAAAAAAAAGCCAAACCTACATGGCCCTGTGTGAAAAAGTGATTGCCCCCCCTGTTAAAACAAATTAACTGTGGTTTATCACATCTTTGGAAAGCTGAGTTCAATTTCTCTAGCCATACCCAGGCCTGATTACTGCCACACCTGTTCTCAATCAAGAAATCACTTAAATAGGACCTGCCTGACAAAGTGAGGTAGACCAAAAGATCCTCAAAAGCTAGACATCATGCTGCGATCCAAAGAAATTCAGGAACAAATGAGAAACAAAGTAATTGAGATCTATCAGTCTGGAAAAGGTTACAAAGCCATTTCTAAATCTTTGGGACTCCAGCGAACCACAGTGAGAGCCATTATCCACAAATGGCGAAAACATGGAACAATGGTGAACCTTCCCAGGAGTAGCCGGCCGACCAAAATTACCCCAAGAGCGCAGCGACGACTCATCCAAGAGGTCACAAAAGACCCCAGAACAACATCCAAAGAACTGCAGGCCTCACTTGCCTCAATTAAGGTCAGTGTTCATGACTCCACCATAAGAAAGAGACTGGGCAAAAATGGCCTGCATGGCAGAGTTCCAAGACGAAAACCACTGCTGAGCAAAAAGAACATAAAGGCTCGTCTCAGTTTTGCCAGAAAACATCTTGATGATCCCCAAGACTTTTGGGAAAATACTCTGCGGACTGACGAGACAAAAGTTGAACTTTTTGGAAGGTGTATGTCCCATTACATCTGGCGTAAAAGTAACACGGCATTTCAGAAAAGGAACATCATACCAACAGTAAAATATGGTGGTGGTAGTGTGATGGTCTGGGGCTGTTTTGCTGCTTCAGGACCTGGAAGACTTGCTGTGGTAAATGGAACCATGAATTCTGCTGTCTACCAAAAAATCCTGAAAGAGAATGTCCGGCCATCTGTTCGTGACCTCAAGCTGAAGCGCACTTGGGTTCTGCAGCAGGACAATGATCCAAAACACACCAGCAAGTCCACCTCTGAATGGCTTAAGAAAAACAAAATGAAGACTTTGGAGTGGCCTAGTCAAAGTCCTGACCTGAATCCGATTGAGATGCTGTGGCATGACCTTAAAAAGGCGGTTCATGCTCGAAAACCCTCCAATGTGGCTGAATTACAACAATTCTGCAAAGATGAGTGGGCCAAAATTCCTCTACAGCGCTGTAAAAGACTCATTGCCAGTTATCGCAAACGCTTGATTGCAGTTGTTGCTGCTAAGGGTGGCAACAACCAGTTATTAGGTTTAGGGGGCAATCACTTTTTGACACAGGGCCATGTAGGTTTGGATTTTTCTCCCCCTTAATAATAAAAACCTTCATTTAAAAACTGCATTTTGTGTTTACTTGTGTTATCTTTGTCTAATATTTAAATTTGTTTGATGATCTGAAACATTTAAGTGTGACAAACATGCAAAAAAATAAGAAATCAGGAAGGGGGCAAACACTTTTTCACACAACTGTATGTAATCTGTCACGCTGAATGTTATGGTGACAGGTCTAAAATGATGCACAACACGTAGCATATATTGCCATCAGATAGATTTGTGCAGCCATAACAATATGGCAAAGACAAATATGGATAAACCTTCAAATTTGATAATTAAATACGATCATTTCACGTCTGTTGTGATAATATCATATCTCGCGATATCATGATACACAATTACTGCGTCTAAACTGATAATAACAAACGTATACTAACTCAAATCTCTCAGACATTCTGATGTGAAATATTCTGAGGGAACATCTTTCACACATTGCAGGTTTAGTTTTTACATCACCACTCAGTTCAATGTGATTCACTATGTGCATAAATAGAAATGAGAAATGTATTTATATCAATTTGAATTTTACTTGAAACTGTTACGACCATTTTGCCCTTTAAAATCACCAGATAAGTCATTTGAGAACCAGTTCTCCTTTACAATGAAGTTCAAAATAGGCTTCACCATGTGTTACTTCATTAAGACTATTTATTGATCTAGCAGAAAACATCCAAAAATAAAACAGCATATATTTAGGGCTCATCCCCCAGCCCCACTTGAAATGAAAGATAATAAATAAAGACGTCTGTTATGCCGTGTTCACACCAAATGACTGGCGGGGGATCATTTGTGGTCATTCACGTGATTCGTGCCATCTGCGCTAGATGCACCAGAGAGGGGGCGTGGCTTATCGCCCTGAAAGCAGTTATCAACTTAAGCCATTTATTTTCGCCATCAACCATGGAAGAGATAACCTCTATTTCTGCTGAGCACTTGTTCCCAGATATCCCGGGAAACTAAACGCCTTCTTGTCTGGGTTTACAACATCATCTGGAGGAGAATTTTGCTGTGAATAAACTGCAATAAACGGACAAAAAGGACGCCAAAATACTACGTAATGATGCCAATTTGTAAAAAGTTTGAATTCATGGCTAGTTAGTTCTCTCCGCAAGACTACAAGCAAATAACTTTTATAATACTTGTTTTCGATCGGTGCTAGGCTATGCTAACATTGTAGCAGCTCCATCAACACTCAAAATAACGTCATCTCGGAGTAAATACGGCAGCGTCTTTTTCATTGTTTGTACCATTAGGTTTATACACACACACATTTATACACATAGTTTGGTCCGGTCTCTATTGATATGAGGTATCGTAGAGCTCTGGGTAAACACAGACGGCTACAGTATTTGTTTCCTGATTCAACAACGGCAGGACGTCACTGATGAGAGGGGGAGCATCTCAACGCTGATAGGCTATCGCGCCGCAGCGTCACGAGTTTTTTTTGTCATTCGCGGTGCGCAAACGCGAATACGCGTCACTCCAGTCTCATCGTGTCTGTGTATAGACTTTGTATGTAATCTACTCGTGCAAATTATTCGCGCTGCGTTTGGTGTGAACACGGCATAAGTAATAATACTTTAATAAGAAAATGGTTCAGTGATGTTTGATTTATATGATTCTCAAGGAAAAATCAGATTGATGAGAACAAACTAGATGCTCAGTGTGACACACATACAGGATGTATACCAGTATACACCAGTTTACCATGACATGTGTAACCACAAGGAGACACAGAGACAACAGAGGAGGAGACGGAGAGGAGGTGGAGGATTAAGAGAAGATGACAGAGGAGATAATAAGGGGAGGAGACAAAAAAGGTGATGGAGGGAAAGCAAGGGGGAAGAGACAGGACAAGTAGGAGGTGACTTATGGACAGCAAAGGGAAGAGAGAGAGGACAAGTAGGAGGTGACTTATTGAAAGCAAGGGGAAGAGACAGAGGAGGACAAAGAGGAGGTGACTGAGGGACAGCAAGGGGAGGACAAAGAAGAGGTGATGGAAGGAAAGCAAGAGGACAAGACAGAGGAGGACAAAAATAAGGTGACTTATGGACAGCAAGGGGAAGAGAGAGAGAGGAGGACAAAGAGGAGGTGACTTATTGAAAGCAAGGGGAAGAGACAGAGGAGGTGACTGAGGGACAGCAAGAGGACAAGACAGAGGAGGATAAAGAGGTGACTTATTGAAAGCAAGGGGAAGAGAGAGAGACGAGGACAAAGAGGAGGTGACTGAGGGACAGCAAGAGGACAAGACAGAGGAGGATAAATAGGTGATTTATTGAAAGCAAGGGGAAGAGAGAGAGGAGGAGAGGGTGGATGGGGAGGTGCAGTAGATACTGACTCTGTGTCGGTGTCTGTCAGCGTGAGTTCAGAGTCTGCTTCACTGTCTCTGGAGTCTGAAATACCTGCGCGCGCGCGCGCGCACACACACACACACACACACACACACACACACACACAATATATTAGTAAAGACAGATTAGCAGGATGTCAAACACACCCTCTCTACCTCTGCCGCATGTTTCCATCTATATTATTGCAAATTTCAATCACCGTTACAAAACAATCTGCAAAATAAAAGGAATGAATGATTTGATCGAATGCTTGTTTCTGCCCACTAGGTGGTGTGAATATAAGTTTAATGTGTCGATGGAGATAAAGAGTTAATGCTACTTGGACATCATCGTTTATTCACCAAACTACTTTTATCCACACAAACAACTTGCGTCTTTATTCCATGGAGCTGTTTTTTATGGACAAAATGAAAAAGTGCATTAAAAAAAAAAAAAACAGCTGGATGCCATCGCACCTTTTCTTTCTCTCCTCTCTTTTATTTTGAAAGTTCGATGCACACTTGCAGCACTGTGTGGCGTCGCAGCATTGAACACTTTTACAACATATCACGTGCATCACACAAATGCAATTACAGTGACATCTGAACTTGTTATCTATCACAATCATGTCATAATCTATAAAGCCTTGTTGTCTTGTGATCTCAACACAACAGGCTGTCTTCTTCTCAAATCATTCTGCGGTAACAAAATAAAAACTGACACTTTATGGTAGAAAGCTTAGGGTTATGTATTACATAATGTCTTCTCAAAGTCGACTCAATTAACGGTTTTACTGTAGTTTTAGTTGTAGATTTTATCTGTATATATCCTACACTATAGAATCAATGTTCTTTGGTTTGGATATTTAAAGTCTATAGACTTGCAGGTATGTTGTTTATGTATGTATCTTAAAATCAATTGGAGTCGCAAACAAAACTTTTGCAAAGAATATCACCTTCATGCAGCGGCTCTACGGCCTTCTGTAGCAAACATCTTTGTGTATGATTTAAAATTCTCTTTCTCACCAACAATCAGGTTTCCTATGGACACAATGCTGTCGTGGTCTGATCTCAGCTGGTCTTCCTCCTCCTCCTCCTCCTCTTCTCTCCCGCTGAGCTCTTCCTGCTTCTGAAAACACAAACAATGAATACAAATCATTTTGAAAAAATGTCAGATTAAATTGCAATACCAGAAAGGAAGGATCAATATACCAATGAGAAATTGCTGCATGTTACTCCAAAATGTGTGTGGAAACACTGATGTGTAAATAAAGTAATTTCTCAAATAAAGTAAAAATGTAGTAAAATGTGCTAATTTTCAAAGTACAACAACAGAGTCATGTCGACAAACACTATTTTCTATCACTTACTAATTCCTGTCACTACTTTGACCTTTTTTGATTGCAATTTACCGCCACTTAAGCTTAATGTTTGCTGCAAGTGTTTCAAAGTAAAAGATAAACAGGACAATTTGAGAGAGACCTGTGTACAAGAAATGTATACCGGTAAACAATATAAAGCAGACAAAACAAATACAGTTTAAAACACACAACTTACCTGCAGAATAGATAAATGACATTCATACCAATTGCAAGTTTGTAATGTTTTGAGATCTTCAAATGGAAGGAGATGCAGCGTTCTGGTGGCTTATAAGCGTTTTGATAAAACCACAACGTTCCTGGTTTTATTCCACTCAGACATCTTTGTTTTGCATGTCATTCCCATTTCTACATCCCCTGTATTTCCTACCTGACACATGTTTCTCTTCTCCACAGAAGGTCTTTCAAAATAAAAGATCTTGATGCCATTGAGACAACTTGTTTGTACTCACTTTCCTGGCTTATAATTTGAAACATTTGCAGGAAACGTGAAGCTTCGGTTTGGCTTCAACTATAAAACGGCGAAGTGACGTCCCTAACACTACCTGGCTCGCTCAGCGTGGAATAAATATTTACGTGCATCATCGCTCCACACCCTCACCTCCTCTGCTCTACTGGACCAGCTGGAGGTGAGCTTCCACTCCTCCCAAGACGGAGGAGGTCTCTTAGGGAGGGAGCCCACGCTCTCCTCCATTGTCTCCTGCTTCTTCGTCTTCACCTCCTCCTCTTCCTCCAAATCCTCGTCCACAGCCATCTCCCTGCCCTCCTCCAGAGGCAGGAGATCGGAGGCCAGAGAGAAGGAGGAGTAGCGAGGCAGACCTCCGTCCAGGATAAGTTCTGGCTCCTCGTCTTCCTCCTCCTCCTCCTGATGAAGGTCTTCTGGCAGGATGGAGCCGTCGCCGAAACCCTGAAACACAAACAAAGAGTTTAACAACTACAACAAAAATCCACAAGAGGAAGGTCAAAGGTCACAGCAGAAGGATGGCGTCTGAATGAGTAAGAGGTCACCTGGAGGACAGAAAGTAAAAACACTTCACACACCAAGTCATCCGTTAGAAGACAATGAACACAGACACTTGTCAACTCTCACCAGTTTCTTCTTCTTCCTAATACTTTAAATGGATTTTAGAACACATGAAGAACATCACTTTGAGACAGCGCCCGAGGGAGTTTGAGAGATAATTTGGGAAAAATCCGAAAACAAAAACCATCTCTCATCCAAACAGCTCCATCAGTCCACTGGAGCTTGTTTTTCAGTTTTTTTGTATATCTAGGACAACCTGGATGTCAGATAAATGAAAGCACTCCCTGAATGAGTCAGACTGTAGGACCCAGAAGCTTGGAGCCGTCTCCTCAGTGAAGGAACTAAACTGAAAAAAGGCAGCCTGACACTAAATCTAAAACTTGACTTACTTTGAACATTAGCCTTCATCTCTGAACACATAAAGGTTTTCTCCAACTCCCCAAAGAGCCTTCCTCAGCAGATACTGAGGGGATATCCTGTTCTTAACATTACGATGCAGACATTAGCCCGCGCGCCGGGAAATATTAATGACAACACTTAGGCTAATTTCCATCGACGTGGCCGCATCGCCAAGGACTCTTTTCCTCTTCTTTTAATTTGGGCCTGGGAAGCCGGCCCATCACGGCCGTATAATGGAGGTGAGGAGCAGACGGCGGCAGCGGCAGAGAGCTCATAACGCTAACAGGATGTTCTGCAGGCTGATGTGTATTGGCGTGACTGCCTGGCCTCATATTCATAAGATTAAAAGATGTTGTCATTTAATATCTCTGCCATTAGACGATGAGGACAGTTGAGATGACGAGTCGGTCGCTTCAGACACTCTGCAGCATTTCGGCGAAGCGGTGTGCTGCTGGATGCTGGGATCTGGACTCCTTTTACTGCAGTGGCCATCTATGGGCCACTCATTCAAATCTTGGGGATTAGCTCTTGTGCCTGGTTGTGTTGTAGACACAATCTCCACCTGGTATTAACCTGATCTAGATCTTGAAAAACTTCTAGTTAGGCCACAATCTTGAGGTGTGAATGGCATCATACTAATGCTTATTTACCTTATTAATCTACTGATTACTTTGCTCATTTCATCCATAACATGTCAGTGAAACGCTCCCAATATATTTACTCTTTTCATCCTATTAGACATTTGTGTGTGTGTGTGACATTTGACCACCAAATTCTAATAAGTTCCTCCTTGAGGTCTTATGGAAGTGTGTGCCAAATTTGAAGAACTTCCCCTAAGGCCTTCCTGGGACATCCCGTTCATGAGAATGGGACATAAGTGAGGTGACCTTTGACAACCAAATCTAATCACTTCATTCTTGACTCCAGGTGGATGTTTACGCCTAATTTCAAGAAAAAAAATCCTCCAGGCCGTCCAGAGATAACGAGTTCTCAAAGAAGTGGCCCCTGTCCTCGTTAATCACCTGAGTTAAAGTTCTTGTTTATTTAGCTGTTAAAGGAGACAGGAACGTTTCTGCAATCAGATAACTGTCCAAAGTGGGTGACGATCAATTAAATCAACAAATAAAAGACCCGGAGTGAACATAGTGGCGATGTCAGCTCTTTTACAGCAACCAGAGTAAAAGTTGATGGTTGGTGTTACTGTGTTGTCCGACAGCTCTCGGCTGTTGGCGGCCCGTAAAGCTGGTTGTTTTCTCTCCTGTATTCCTGTTTGACTGGATTTGAACTGTGACTCGCTGCGGCTCTTTATCTGCACAAAGATGATGGGAATAATGTAATCGCAGCCTGTAACTACAGCAGCAGCAGTCTTCTACATATGACCTCTAAAAAGTTAACGAGGTGTGGATGTGTAACGGGGGTCTCTCTCTGGTCAGCGAGCTGGCGTGACCGAGAACGATGAAGTGACAGCGCCGACCCGGCTGTCTTTATGGAAACCCATCAGAGACCTGTGGGCTGTGAAAAAAACCCTCTTCAGTCAAATGGGCTGCATATAAAATAGGAAATAAAACGGCTGCACAGCAGATACTGCAGGAGGACAGAAAGTAACATAGCAGATTACAGTACAGTACAACAGTACGCAGCAGAGTACATCAGAGAACATAGAGTCCAATATACAGTCAGGGCCAGAAGTATTTGGACTGTGACATAGTTTTTCTAATTTTACCTCTTTACTCGACTCCAGTGGATTTGAAACGAATCAGTCAATATGTGGTTGAAGTGCAGACTTTCAGCTTTAATTCAATGGATATAACTTAAATATTACATGAACCGTTATGGAATTACGGCCATTTTTACACAGCCACCCACATTTTCATGGCCAGATGTGGTCGGTTCTGTCTCTATTTCTTGACAAATGATGCCGACAATAGGATTCAAAATGTTAAATTAGCTGGTCTGTGGAACTCTCAGCATGAAACCAAAGAGGTATCAATGCAAGTGAAGGAGGCCATTATTAGGCTGAAAACACTTAAACCATCAGTCAGACAGCAGAAACATTAGGATTGGCCAATTAAACAGTGGTATATTCTTAAAAAGAAGGAATTCACTGACACCAAAAGGCCCAGAAGACCACGGAAGACATCTAAAGTGGATGATCGCAGAATTCTTTCCTTGGTGAAGAAAAACCCTTCATAACATCTACTGAAGTCAAGAACACTCTGGAGGAGGTAGAGTGTCATTGTCAAAGTCTACAATCAAGAGACGCCTTAATGAATCTAAATACAACAAGGTGCAAACCACTGGTGACGCTCAAGAACAGGAAGGCTTGATGAGACTTTAACAGAAAACATCTGAAAAAGCCTGACCAGTTTGGGAAAAAGATTCTTTGGACAGATGACACCAAGATGAACTTGTACCAGAATGATGGGAAGAGAAAAGTGTGGAGAAGGAAAGGAACGGCTCATGATCTGAAGCATACCACATCATCTGTCTAACATGGCGGAGGCAGTGCTTTATATGGGCATGTATGGCTGCCAATGGAACTGGGTCACTGGTGTTCATTGGTGATGTCACAGCTCATAGAAGCAGCAGGATGATTTTAAAAGGTGTTTTGGGCTAACCTATCTGCTCAGATTCAGACTAATGCTACAAAACTGATTGGACGGCGCTTCACAGTGCACAGGATTATGACCTAAAACATACTGAGAACATAACACAAGAGCTTCTCAAGGCAAAGGAATGGAATATTCTTCAATTGGCGATGTCAGTCGCCTGATCTCAACCCAAGTGAGCAGGCTTTTTACTTTCTGAAGATAAAACTGAGGGCAGAAAGACCCACAAACAAGCAGCAGCTGAAGGAGGCTGCAGTCAAAGGCAAAGCATCTCAAGGGAGGTAACGCAGCGTTTGGTGATGTCTATGGTGCCAGACTTCAGGCAGTCATTGACTGCAAATTATTTTACTCCAAGTATTAAAAATAGTGCTGGGCAAGTTAACGCGTTAATTTTGCGTTAACGCATTCATTAATTAACGCCGACAATTATTTTATCGCGCGTTAACGCATTTTTTAAATTTATTATAATTTTTTTTTTTTCTATTGAAAGACAAGAGACAATACATAGACATAACAACAAGAGGATAACAAGAACAGTGGGATAAAAGCCAGCAAACATCCTATAGTCAGTAATTTTAGTGCACCTATATGCTGAAATTCACGGTAAACGCATTTAAACGGCACAGATCGGGAGCGAGCGAAGGACTTTGAAAGTTAGCGAAAAGATTAACGTGAGACAATATCTGGTTTCTTCAGACGAACATCCGGTTTTCAGAATAAGATGCCAACAAAGTATAAATTATATTCACATTAAGTATAAAACATGCTACCTGCATCTCGTGAACCAACTGTTATTGCCCTTTTGTTCATATAGCAGTACTTTTAAAATAAAAGTGCGCAATACACTACTTTTGAATTCATTATTGAACTTTGCCATAACAATGCGATTAATCGCAACAAATCCATGCGATTAAATATTTTAATCGTTGCCCAGCACTAATTAAAAATAATGATTCTATTTTTATATACA